AAATGACAAGATTTGTCAACGGAATGGATATGTGAGAAATAGAAAATGGCACCAGGGTTGTGAGTTTTTGTCACTAGGAGGATAGTAGTGCCTGTCACATTAATAGGGAGGTTTGGAAGAGAGGAGGGGTGCGTTTGAGGTGGGGTGGGGTGGCAGGGAAGACATGTTGAATTTGAGGTGCCAATGCAGCAACCGGTCTGAGATGACCAAAAGGCAATCCGTCATGTCTGAAGGCTAGATATATAAATTCAGGAATCATCTGCAGAGATGATAACTGGGAGCTAATGAGATCAGTAAGTAACACAGTACAGAATGAAAAAGAGAAGAGAACCCATAATTTTCTGGTCTTTTTCTACTATGTCACAGAAGTCTCCTCTCTTTGAAAGCTCATTCCATTCCTAGAGTTCGTACACTGGAAGAGGCCCCTGCAGCCTTTTTCTCTGATTGGCTAACTCTCCCCAGTACTTCCATTTTAAGGAAAATACTCAGGCCAACAATATCTTCATTCCTCTTCAGGTTCCATTTCCAATTCTCCTGACATTCTCTATCATCTCTCTCCCATGAATACTTTTTTTCCCCCAAACCCCTTTTCAGTTTCCTTTAATATGTTATCTTCCCCTATTAGAACGTAAGCTCCTTTGAGGCAGGGACTGTCTTTCTTTTTACTTGTATTTGTATTGAGTCTTAGCACAGTGTCTGGCATATAGTGAGACTCAATAAATGCTTTTCTAATTGACTTGAGAGTTTTGGAGAACAGCCATGGTTAGTGGGCATGACTGGGATGAAGATCCAACAAAGGAGACCGAGAAGAACAGTCAGATAGAAAGAAGCATCAGGAGAGAGACACCTCCTGACTCTCCCTAATGTCTGGATGTAGTGTTCACTACTGGAAAGACTTAAGGAGAGTTGGTTAGTATTAGGAAGGAGGAGTGTGAATTATTGGGGAGAATTGCTTAGTTAGCTAAACATTGGTAAAATGTAGCTCTGAATGGAAGCTTGAACTACACATAGAAATTTAAGAAGATACACTTACAGCAAGAAGGAAGCCACTCCCAAAAGGAAAGCTTTCTATCTCTTTATGTGTAGACAAATACTCAATAATAAATTTTAAACTTTTCCCTGAATTATCTTGCCTGGAGGTAATGTTGTCTTGGAGTCAGGAGACCTGGGTCCCCAGCCCAATCTCTTGCACATACCAGCTGTTTAACCATGAGCAAGTCACTTTATCTCAGGCACTTTATCTTAAGACTATAAATTACAGAGAAGTTACCATCTGCATCTATACAGGGAATTTCTATAGGTGAGATTAATATGTGAAAGTTTCAGAGAGGAAGACTTAAGCTGGGAGGAAGATTAGACTAAGAATTAGAGCTTTACAAAAATGGAATTGACTTCCTTTTGAAGTGGTAGGTTCTCCTTCAAGGGAGATGTTCAAACGGAAAAAGAGTAACTACTTGTTAAGAGATGTTTCAGATGAAAATTTTGGTCAAATATAAGTCAGACTAGATGTCTTCTTATCTGTAAATCTGTATTAATGATTATTTGTTCTACTTGCTTTATAGTTATCTTTTTTTGGGGTGGGGTTAGGCAATGGGGATAAGTGACTTGCCCAGGGTCACACAGCTAGTAAGTATCTGAGACCGGATTTGAACTCAGGTCCTCCTGAATCCAGGGCCAGTGCTCTATCCACTGAGCCACCTAGCTGCCCCTTATAGTTATCTTCTGACAAGTACTTTGTAATCCACAAAAATCCATGAATTGCTGCTCTTCTTGTTTTGATGCTTATTTCACATTACTCCTACTTTCCAATCAAATGGACCTACTTTGCTGTTCCTGGTACAGATTTTCACAACTTTTGGCCTGTGACTAGAATGTACTCCCACCTTACCTCTCCCTCTTGGAAGCCTTCCAAGCTCACCTTGAGTTCTATTTCCTATATAAAGCCTGTCCTCATTTCACCCCTTTGGGCTTCAGACTCCACATCTATGAAATGAGAAGATTGCAAAAGATGTCTGCTAGGGTCCTTTCTAGCTTTAAATCTATGATCTTATGATCTCCCAAATTGCTCCTCCCTCTTGGAATTACTTTTCATTTGCTTTGAATTGTATTGATTTATTTCTGTATAAGCTGCTTCCCCCCACTGAATTTAAGTTCCTAAAGAACAGGAACTGGTTTATTTATGTCTTGGGTCCCAGCACCTAGTTTAACTCGTAGAAGATAGGAGATACTTAATAAATGCTCATTAAGGGGAGAGTGCCAGAGTAGAAAGAAAATGAGGCTTGAGGTCAGGAAGATCTAGGCTAAAATTCTGCCTAGGGCCATCAGTACTTGCCCCTCGGTAAGTCACTTAAGCTCTCAGAGCTTCAGCTTCCTAATCAGTAAAAAAGAAACAATAATAGCACCTAATACAATTGTGTTCAGAGGAACAAAGGAGATTTGTATAAAATGATTTACAAATCTTAAAGTACCATATAAACACTGAACATTACTACCATTGTTGTTGAGTAAGTAAGATCCCTAATGAAATAACAGATCAGGACCAAAATATGTGTTTCTGAGAAATCAAAACATATCACAAACCCCAAGCAGTAAAACTCTTCTGCATGTAATTCTTAGGAAAGTGTCTCAAACTTCCTTATCTGATTTCCCAGCCTACAAGAAATTTTTGTTGTTCAGTCATGTCTGACTCTTCATGACCCCATTTGGGGTTTTCTTGACAAAGATAATGGAGTGATTTGCCATTTCCTTCTCCAGCTCATTTTACAGATAAGGAAATGAGGCAAACAGAGTTAAGTGACTTGCCCAGGGTCACACAGCTGTTAAGTACAGACAAGTTAGAATTCAGGAAGATGAGTCTTCCAGATTCCCAGACCAGTGCTCAATCCACTAAGAAATCAGAAGAGAAAAGAAGAGAATAATGAAGGTATAAGTTGCCAGCAATAATTAAAACTGAAGGGAAAAAAAATTATTAAAAAGCATACAACAATTCCTAGCTGCATTCCTATTGTCAGAATATTTAACAATAGGGCAAACAGCCCCTAAGGCATCATATTATAACAGTGTAATTACTTCGCCTTGTGTTCTTCATAAAGATATTTCTGACTCATAAAGTGACCATTGATTGTTCAATGTTCTCTCAGAAGCCCTGTTAGAGAGATTTCCATAAAAAACAGTTAGGAGGCACAGTGGATAGATTTAGAGTCAAGAAGATCAGAGTTCAAAGGTGGCCTCAGATACTATCAGTTTCCTCATCTGTAAAAATTCGAATAATACAGAAAGTTCTCCCTTTACTTTTCCCTTTGGATGTGGGGAAGGGATGGTCGCTGGAGCAGGGAGGGGGCCAGCACATGGTTCAAAAACATATGGGGGCTTGGGACAGAAAAGTGAGAGCAGGAGGAATACAAGACCTATGGCGGGGTGGGGTTTTGCAGATACATGGGGGCGGGACAGGAGACCTAAGAGGACAGACTTGTGTATCTAAGTGCTGACAGACAGAAGACTTGGGATGGAACACAAACACATGGGCACAGGAGGGCAAAGGTCTCCTCTTTCAGTGGGAGGTCTCAAGCCAAGCCCCCATTTAGTGGTGACATTCTCTCCTCCTACTCTCCTTTCACTTTCAGGGTTTGGGGTTGTTTTGGGTTTGTTTGTTTTTGGTGGGGAAGGGAAGGAGAGAGGAGAGAACACAGTAGTATATAGTAAAGTTAATAGAGTTTATTTGGAATGCAGATTTCTTTCAGAATTCTTTATGCAAAGTTGAATTTGCATAATGAGAATTTATATAAAACAAGACCTATCTGTAATAGCATGTTATGAGGATTAAATCAGTTACTATTTGTAAAGCCCTTGCAAAACCTTGAACTGCTATCTATATAAAAGCTAGGTATTACTTTATCTAGAAAACTCCCTTTTCCTTAACAATACAGTATAAATGGGGTATTGCATACAATTGTTTACAAAATAATCTTGAATACAAATAACTAGCATATGTATGTATGTATAAACACATTATATATGTACTAAGTATACATTCTGAATAGAAAATATCCATTTAAGCACTTTCTCCAAAAATGAGGAAAACGAAATTACATAAAAATTGGACAGAAAATAACATTAATCTACTGAACTTCCAACTAATTTAACAACAAAGTATATTTGGAAAAAGAAAGAACAGCACAAAACATAGTATTCAGAATAGCCAATAATTTGGTTTTATATAGTTAAAAATTTGAGCCTCTTTATCACAATGAATACTGTTGTGTTTTTTTTTAATTTTCAGGGAGAAAAAAGGAAATGAATTGTCTTCTGACCTTGCAACCTTTAATATGGAGGAAAATGAATTTCCTTTGAGGGCAGATGAGAAAACAGTACTATTTCACAAAAAAAAGTAAATTAGGAAAGGATGAATCTTTATTATTTTATAGGTTTTTAAATGAGAGGGTTACAGTACTCAATAATGTTAAAAACAGGTTGGGTAGGTTTCATAACAAAGGTGGAATATAAATTTAAAATGGACATACATGAAAACATGTCTTTACTTGTAATTACCAAAAGGTAACTTTTACATATACTTCCAGTTGGAAAAAATTTTCAGTAGTATGTGTTTACATATACACATATGTAATGAGTTCAGAATAGCCGTTTTCTATTTTAATCCAGTCAATACAACCACAAGACTTTTTTTTTGTCTTGTTTCACAGAATATTTTCTCAAACTAGGGGTTCTTAACCTTTTTTTGTGTGTGTGTCATAAACCTAGTTGGCAATCTGTCGAAGCCTTATGTACCCCTTCTCTGCACTAGGAAATACACAGGATTATAAGGAAATCAATTCTATTGAAATGATCATCAAAATATTTTTAAAGCAAGTTTACGGACACGTTAAATTAAGAAACTCCTGCCCCTAAAACTGGGATATGGATTTAATTAACAGAAACAGCAGCTTCCCCTCTCACCCCAAGTTACCAGAGAAAAACAATGGTACGAATGTGCTCTTTCTTACCTGGACACACTTCAAAATAGATTGACTTTTCTCTCTTACATCTTTAAAGGGACACCGCTTGGAAAGCATGAGCAGGCGAGCGAGGATTTTATTGAACCCATCCCAAGAGACAGCATTTAAAAGGTGCTCAGATGAACGATAAGGCGGCTCTTTCACAGAACGAAGAGGCTCAGCTTTCCTCAAGATTGCTTGTTTAATGTTTTCCAGCGCTGTGTCTCTGGTAGCTGAATCTCGGCTGCACAATCCATCCCACCTAACTTCATTCTCTCCCTCAGCCATCACGTCCTTGGATTTCTCCCCACCCCCCACCCCGCCCCCTTCAATCTTCAGTCTCTTTTCACCATGTCACCAAAAACACCTTGACAGCTACACCCAGAAATGAAATAAGTTTTAGCTTGGGCTTAAGCTGGGGGCCAGTCATAGAATGGCAGTCGTCAATTGCAGACTCACGTTTTGGGGGCACTAGAAAAATCAGACAGCGGAGTCTCTGAAACCGATGCTGGGGGTGGGGTCTCTACTATACAAAGTTCACTCCAACAAGAAGCAGCCTGGGAAGGAAGATTTTTTTTCTTTTTTTTTTTTTCCTGAAGAGGGTTAAAAAATAATGGGCAAAGGGCACCAGCCTGACCACTTGATACCTCGCCTGGGTTGGACGTCTTTGGAAGGAGCCAGGAAACCTCGCTCTCCTGACCAGCGGGGTCAGCCGCCGTCCTCACGCCGGGGAGCTGTCAAATCAGTGCTCTGCCCACGAGGGCGGACAGCGAAGAAAGCTCGCCTGTCAGTTGGGAGTTGTTGTTTTTTTTTTCTTGGCGGGGGCGGGGGGAGATTCTCTTCCACCACCACCCCCAGCTCTTCAGTCCTTTCTGTTGGCCCCGCCTTCTCCCTAGACCCCGCCTTCTCGCAACTCCTCCCTCCGGCTCTCGGGCCGGGGAAGAGCGGTGGGCTGGAGGGCCGAGGAGGGTGGGAGAGAACGGTGTGCGCGTCACTCTGATCCCAGGCTCCTGGTTTGAATCCTGGAGAAGCAGAAAAAGCAGCTGCTTGGGCGACGGGGGTAGGGAGCGGCGGTCCGTCCTCTTCTCTCTGAGTCTTGTCCCTCTGCCCGAAGTGGTGCTGCCGCTGGCAGGGTGCCGATACCCCCTGCCCCCTCTGAATCGCTTAATTCTCACCTACCCCGCCCCCCAGACTGAGCCAAAGTCCAGCGGCCCCAGGAGGCAGCGGGTGACTCCGACAGGGCCTAGGGAGCCAGAGTTGCAGCTGGGCCCAAGGCGCAAAGCCCGCCCCCTCGCCCTGCCCCATCGGCGGGGACCGGCCCAGAGGGCGGGAGTGGGGAGGGGAGTTGAAGGGGGTCCTCCGCGATGGTCCAGTCCCTCCCCTTTCTCCGCCCGGCACAAACTGGGAGCCGCCCCTAAGGCCCAGCTCCCTCTTCCCCGCCCCGGCGGACCGGACCCGCCGAGGAAAAGCCATAGGAGAAAGCCCCGCCCTTCCAGCCGCCACGGACTAGATGCCCCTGAGCCCACACGGCGGCCAACTGATGCGAGCTACCGCGCATGGGCAGTCTTGAAAGGGAAGAAGAGGGACGCATGCGTACTAAGCCCCTAGGCTTTTCCCGCCTCCGAGAACCTATCCTGGCCTTAGCGGCGCGTGAAGTTAGAAAAAGAAAAGTGTATACTCTAAGAGTTTGGCAGAGTACAGGAAAGGGCAATGAAAAAAGGAAGTGGGACGTTAAGATAATTCCTAAACAGCGACCGGCGTTCAATTTGGAAATAACACTAGGCTTCTAAACAGGCTCCCTCGTAATGACTTCTGGGAAGTGTAGTCCTCGTGAAGCTACGAGAGGGTTGCCTGACGCGACCGGAACTACAACCTCCAGAAGGAAGCGCGGCGTTGCCTAGGAAGCTGACTGCCTGGCGTTCCAACGGCTCTGGGGAAGCGAGGACTGGCTGGCGGCGAGAACAGGTGAGCTTTGAGAGCCTTCGTCGGACTCGTTTATGTGGGAGTTGCGGGGTCATCTTGGCCGTGTTCTTCTCGGCCGCTGTTCTGGGAATGGAGATGGCCCCATCTGAAGGAACTGGATGTGGGGGAGAGGAAAGGGAACAGAGTTCAGACAGCAGCGAGACCGCATCTGTCTGGGAGGGCTTCGGCCGGGGACGTTCTGGAAACTGGCCTCCCAGGGAAGAAGAAGGGAAAGAGATGATGTCCACACTGGCTCTCAACTCGGGTGTCTCCTATTTGAGTTCCGCCTTTTTCGTGACGGTCTCAGGAACCCCAACTTACTCTAACGTTTCTCTACTCCTCCCCACCCCCACCCCGGGACCTCCACTTAGGACTCCTTTGATTACTGTTTAAATTCTTGGGCAGATGTGTATTGCATTTGTTAAATCTAATTCAAGGTTCTAAAGAAGAAACCAGTTGGTCCGTAGGCCCTACGGAAACAAAAGCATTATCCCGAACGAGCCCTATATACTGTATCTCAAAATTTTAGTACAAAGAAAACTATCTTTAAAATATGTGTATATGTATATATACATAAAGATACATGTACATAAATGTACACATCGATAGTACAAATGTGTAATACATGTATATAATATGTGCATTTAATGCTTGTTTGATGTTGAAAGGGAAACAAATTAACATTTATTTGTACTATATATAGATATTGTATCTATATGTGTATATTACATTTATATGTTATATAACTATATACTGTATAGTTATAATATATATATATATAATGTATTCCTTTGCCCTAGTTAATGCCAAACACTGCTAAGCACTGAGGACACAATAATAATAGCTAGCATTTTTATAACACCTACCGCGGTCAAGGAACTGGCTAAGTGCTTTCTTAACAAATATCGTCGAAGTTGATCAAAAAGAGGCAAAAAGACACTCCCTACTCTCAAGGAGCTCATAGCCTAATGGAAGACGAGTAAAAAAAAATTCAATGGAAATTAATATTTAGCATATTACTAATCAGAAAATTCTAGGAACCAGTGACATTTTTAATATTCCGTAACTTATCGAGTAATTGTGTCTACCGCCAAAGCTAAACATAACTGGTACCAGAAGTGTTCAGGATCTTAGTATTCCTTTAAAAAAAAATCTGTTCTTGAGGATTGTCACTGGTTTTTCACTTACTCAGAGTTTGCCTTTCTTATGGTGATGTTTTCACTTACTTTGTCGTAATCATAATGAATGAGTTGTGGCGTGGAATAGAGACTAGAGAGCCTACTTCTCAGAGTCTGGGGGGGAGGGCAGGACGTCCTACAGCTGATATTTATTGACTTTGTTACCCTAGGCAAGTGATTTAACCTCTCAACTTTAATTCAGATTTGCCTTAGTAGAAGGAATTTCCTCATTGATCCCATATAGCAATGAACTATTAAACGTACCAAATTAATGAACTTAACAAAAAACAAATCATTGTGTACACCTTTTTTTGGTTCTGCTAATCTCACTCTGCATCAATTCATACAAATCTACCCATGTTTCTCTAAATTTATCATATTAGTTATTTCTTACTACACAATAATTAATGTTCCATTATGTACCATAATTTATCAAATCTCCAATCAATGAGCATCCATTTTGTTTCCAGTTCTTTGGTACCACAAAAGACTGCTGTGAATGTTTCGACCTTGTGTCTCTTTAAAGATAGATAGATAGATAGATAGATAGATAGATAGATAGATAGATAGATAGATAGATGTATATTCCCAGGAATAATGGGATTGCTGACTCAATCAGTATAAACAATTACTTTTCTTGCTAAATTCCATTTTGAAAGCCAGGATGGATACGCCAATTCACGGCTTGCATAGGTAGACTACGTCAGTTTATCTTTTTGCAGCCCGTTCAACATTGATTGTTGCTGTTTAGTCCTGTCTGAGTCTTCCTGATCCCATTTGGGGTTTTCTTGGCAAAGACATGGGAGTGGTTTGCCATTTCCTTCTCCAGCCCATTTTACTAATGAGGAAAATGAAGCAAATAAGGGTTGAGTGAGTTGCCCAGGGTCACACAATTACTAAGTGTCTGAGGCCTGATTTGAACTGGAGAAAAGGAGTCTTTTTGACTTCATGGGCTGGTTTTGCCATCTAGCTGCCCACAATATTAATTACCATTTTTTTAAACACCTTTCCCTATTTGTACAATGTAAGATAAAAACTCAATGTATTTCTCTTATTATTAGTAATTTGAAGAATTTTTTTTTTTTGGTGAGGCAATCTGGATTGTGACTTGCCCAGGGTCACACAGCTAGTAAGTGTCATGTGTATGAGTTTGAATGTGAACTCAGGTCCTCCTGACTCCAAGACTAGAGCTTTATCTACTGCATCAGCTAGCTGCCCCACAAGAATATTTTCAGATGACTAGTTTGCAGTCCTTCTTTTGAAACTTTATTCTTATTTTTTGATCACTCATCTATCAGGTAATGACTCTTGTTACAGATTTATTTCAATTCCCTGTATATTTTAAATATCAAATTTTTGTCAGTGATATCTAATGCAAATATATTCCCATTGAACAGTTTTGTTGTTTATTGTATCCATTCATTTTACTGATGTAACACTTTAGAGTTTTATTTAATCAAAATTGCTTTATATATAATAATTATATATACAATGCTTTCATATAATCAAAAATCTTGTTTTTGTGATCTCTCCCCCTTGTTTGCCTAAAGAATTCTCCATCCAAAACATACTTGTGAGCCATGCTCATCTTTCTCTTTTCTGAATTTTTTTCTAGTGATGGGATCTTAAATAATCAGGTTGCATACCCATTTATTCCTATTATGCTATATGGTATAAATGCTAGTCTAAATTTAATTTCTGTTGGACTACTTTCTCATTTTCCCAGCAGTTTTTGCTGAAAAGAGAGTCCTGAATTAATTTAAGTTCTCGGCTTTATAAAATGCCAGACTGTTATTCTTAGTTGCTTTTTAAATCTCTTCCACTGATCTACTTTTATGTTTTTTAACAAGGCCTGATGTCTATTGTTTTATAATATTAAGGTCTGGTTATGCTGTACCCTCTTCATTCCTTTTTTTCCACATTATGTCCCTTGATATTCTAGACCTTTTTCCCCTCTACAAATGAATTTTTATTATTTTACCTAGTTCTGTTTCTGGGTAGCTTTAAATCTGTAATTTAATTATGATATTGTCATTGGCATGGCCCATCCATGGCAGAGACTGTTTCTCTAGTTATTTACCAGTTTATTTGTTTATTTGTTTAATGTTTTGTAGTTGTAGTGATACAGGGTGTCCCAAAATTTTAGTGCAGTTTTAAACTTTAAGAGCCTAATTTTGTGACAATCTATGTAAATATCATGAGTGTGTTGGTAGGTTAACTACCAAATAATCCCACATTTGGTAGTTATTTTGAATGATTTTTTTTTACAATTTCTTCCCGATTTTTATTATTACTATGCAGAAATGCTGATAACTTCTTGTGGACTAATTTTGTGGCCTGCTACTTTACTGAAACCATGACTCAATCAACAAACATTTATCAAGCCCTTAATATTTGGCAGCCACTGTCCTTGCTACTAGGGATACAGACAAAAAAAGAAAAAGAATTACTCTCAAGAATTTATACTCTAACAGGAAAACAACATGTACACAGATAAATATATGTAAAATAGATATAAAATAACTACAAGTTAATTTAGAAGAGAGGCATTAGCAAGCTAATAGGGAATCAGGAGAGGCCTCAGAATGGTCACAATTTGACTGAGGTTTGCAGAGAGCTGTGAATTCTAAGAGGCAGAGGCATTCCAGACTTGAGAAGGTAGCTTATGCAAGGGTACGGAGATAGGCAATGGAATGTTCTGTGTAGAAAGAGCAAGAAGATCAGTTTAGCTGGAGATCATAGAAGTTCATGAAGGCAGATTATATGCAGTACTCCTCAAAAGCTAAATTGGTGCCAGGTTGTAAAGAGCTTTAAATGCCAAAGGGAGGAAGTTTTATTTGATCCTAGAGGTAATGAGGAGCCTATTGAACAGAGAAGTGAGATAGATGGTTGGATGTTTGCTTTAGTAGTCACTTTGACAGTTATGTGGAAGGTAGAGAAAAGAGGGATTAGAGGCAGGAAGAACAATTAAGAGGTAAAGAGGTGAGAAGAATCTGAATTTATGGAATAAATGGAGAAAAGTGAATAGATGCAAGAGATGTTGGGGGAGGTGGGGCAATTCGACAGTAGAGCTACTGATTGGACTTTTGGGATGAGATAAAAAGAAGCTAAGAATGACTCCAAATTTGTAACCCTAGGTCAGGGCTTCTTAAACTTTTTCCACTTGTGACCCCTTTAGCACTTCTTAAATTGTGGATTTCGATTCCATATGTCTTGACCCACAGTTTAAGCGATGATTAGAAAGAATGGTGGTACTCTCAGCAGAAATGGAAAAACTTGGAAGAAGTATGGGTTTTTTTTAAGGAAACATAATGAGTTTTGTTTTGGACATGTTGAGCTTTAGGTGACTACAAGATATTCAAGCCAGGAACTATCTTACTTTACTATTTCTCTAGGGTTTTTTGAGTATACCATTATCTTCAATTAGGGATAATTTTATCTTCTCATAGTCATTAAGCATTTATTAAGCATCTATTATGTGCCCAGGCACTGTACTAAGAGCTAGAGATACAAAAAGAGGCAAAAGACAGGCCCTGCCTTCCTGGGTACTTATAGTTTAATGAAATAGATAACAAACACACAAATATGCAGAGACAAGCTAAGTACAAAATAAATAGGAAATAATTAACTAAGAGAAGGCACTAGAATTAAGAGGGGTTAGAGATTTTATTTAGGACTTCAGTAAAGCCAGGAGGCAAAGATGAGAAGGGAATACATTCTAGGAATGGGGGACAGCCAGAGAAAATTCTCAGAGCCAAGAGATGAAGGGTCTTGTTAGCAAGAAGGCCAGTGTCCCTAAATCAAGGAATACATGACAAGGAGTAA